TGTCAAAATGTTAGTTCTTCCCAACTTGATCTATAGATTTAACGCAATCCCTATCAAAATCCCAGCAAGTTATTTTGTGGATATCAGCAAACTGATTCTGAAGTTAATATGGAGAGACAAAAGACCCAGAATAACCAACACAATATTGAAGGGGAAAAAAAAAAAAAAAAAGAGGATTGACATTACCCAACTTCAAGACTTACTAGAAAGCTGTAAAGTAATCAAGACAGTGTGGTAATGGCAAAAGAATAGACAGATCAATGGAACAGAACAGAGAGCCCAGAAATAGACCCACATAAATAGAGTCTACTGATCTTTGAAAAAGATCAAAAGGCAAACAATAGAGCAAAATAGTCTTCTCAACAAATGGTGCTGGAAACTGGACTTCCGCATACCAAAAAAGGAATCTAGACACAGACCTTACACCCTTCACAAAAATTAACTCAAAATGGGTCATAGACCTACATGTAAAACACAAAGCTATAAACCTCCTAGAAGATAATAGAGGAGAAAACCTCGATGAACTTGGATACGGCGATGCTTCTTCAGATACAACACCAAAGACATGACCATCAAAGACATAATTGATAACCTGGACTTCACCACTAACATGAAAAACTTTGCTCTGCAAAAGACTGTATCAAGAGAGTTACAGGACAAGCCACAGACTGGGAGAAAATATTTGCAAAACACACATCTGATAAAGGACTGTTATCCCCAATATACAAAGAACTCTTAGAATTCAATAGTAAGAAAATACACAACCTGATTAAAAAATGGGCCAAACCCACACCCCAGCAAAGAAGATACTCAGAGCATATGAAGATACAGATGAGCATGTGAAAAGATGCTCTACATCCTAAGTCACCAGGAAAAGGCAAATTAAAACAACAGTGAGATACCGCTACACACCAGTTAGAATGGCAAAAATTCAAACACAGACAATACCAAATGCTGGATAGAGGATGTGAAGCAGCAGGAACTCTCATATGTTGTTGGTGGGAATGCAAAATGGTACAGCCACTTTGGAAGTCAGTTTGGTAATTTCCTACAAAACTCTTCCCATACAATCCAGCAGTTACAGCCCTTGGTATTTACCCGAAGGAGTTGAAAGCTTACGTCCACACAAAAATCTGCACACAGATGTTTATAGCAGCTTTATTTATAATTACCAAAACTTGGGAGCAACCAAGATGCCCTTCAATAGGTGAATGGATAAATAAACTGTGTTACATCCAGACAATGGAATATTGTTCATCCCTAAAAAGAAAGGAGCTATCAAGCCATGAAAAGACACAGAGGAGGCTTAAATGCATATTACTGAGTGAAAGAAGCCAATCTGAAAAAGCTACATGCTGTATGATTCCCAGTGTATGACATTCTGGAAAAGGCAAAACTACGGAGACAGTAAAAAGTGGTTGGGGCTTCCCTGGTGGTTCAGTGGTTAAGAATCCGCCTGCCAATGCTGGGGACAAGGGTTTGAGCCCTGGTCCGGGAAGATCCCACATGTCACGGAGCAAGTAAGTCCATGCGCCACAACTACTGAGCCTGCTCTCTAGAGCCCGCGAGGCACAGCTACTGAAACCTGCGTGCTTAGAGGCCGTGCTCTGCAACAAGAGAAGCCACCACAATAAGAAGCCTGCACAACGAAGAGTAGCCCCCGCTGTCTGCATCTAGAGAAAGCCCGCACGCAGCAACGAAGACCCAACACAGCGCCCCCACCCAAAAAAAAAAAAGTGGTTGCCGGAGGTTGGGGGAAGGGAGTGATGAATAAGTGCAGCACGGAGAATTTTTAGGGTAGTGAAAATACTGTGTAGGATGCTATAATGACAGATGCATGTCATCATACATCTGTCCAGACCCATCCCATGTACAACACCAAGAGTGAACCGTAATGTAAACTACGGACTTTGGGGGGATTATGATGTGTCATGTAGGTTTATCTTGATGACAAATGTACCACTCCGGTGAGTGATGCTAATAATGGGGGAGTTACTCATGTGTGGAGGCGGGGGTATATGGGAAATCTCTCCACCTCCTTCTCAATGTTGTTGTAAACCTAAAACTGCCCTAGAAAAATAAAGTATTTTAAAAGAAAGAAAGAACAAACTTTTACCGATGTGAAGTAGGGTCTTGGAAGACACCTGTGCCAGAGAGGGTCTCCATTAGCTTTTGCGTTCTTCTCTCAACCCTTTCTCCTCCATGGTCCCTGTGCTCAAAAGCTTCCAGAAAAATCCCTCCAAACAGGCTAAGTGTCAGGGGCAGTGACCACTTCGGCCTCGCTGCAGCCTCCAAGCTCCCTTGGTAAGTGAGCAAGGCCTCCAATGAAACAGATGCAAACTCTCTCCCGAACGAGGCTTGCTCCTCGGGACAGAGGGAAGAGCGAATCTCCTCTTTGCTCTGACGGTAAGGTTGCCGAATTTGGCAAATCGAAATATTGGACACCCAATTCCATTTGAATTTCAGATAAACAACAAATAATTTTTTAGTATAAGGATGGACATTTTGCAGGGGACATTTAGCAGGGTGTCCTGTACGGTACCTGGCAGCCCTGTCTCACAGGGACCCAGCAAAGTCAGGTTCACTGCCATGGGAAGCAAAATTGATCTTAGCAGTGAGGCTCCTGACTCTTCTTTCCCAAAGAAGGATGTGGCTATTCAAACTCTGGGTGTGTCTTTCAGAAGCATTCCTGGTCTGGAAAGTGGGGAGAGATACCTGATCTTCAGCAGAAGAGTAGCCAGTAGCAGAAGGGATTTGGGGTAACTGCTCCCCAAGCAGGTCGGTGACTGAATGTCCGACCTGGAATTGTGAAGATCTCACTTCTCTCTGAACCTTTTTCTCCACCTGTAACATGATGCTTCCTATGCTCTTGGGTGGTGTGAGCATGAAATAGGAAAATATATATGTAAGATGTATGCCTAGGAGTCAGTGGTAAGTATCCCTATGTTAGGTTTTTGTTGTTAGCTATTTAGGAAAAAAACGTTTTCCCAAACCGTTGGACCTGCTTTGCTGAAGCTGGCAAGTGCAGGCTCTCGGGTCCACGTGGTCACCAGCCGGGCCCTCCTCCGTGCGGAACCCTCGGCTCTGTGTTGAATGAGCCTATGTCCTTTGTTCCTGCAGTGGGTTCTGGCAGGCTGCCCACTGGACTGTTTTTCCAGGGATCCATCCTGGAGCCTCCCCTCGCTTTGCCTCTGACAGCTGCAGGCTCCATGGTCCCCGAGCACAAGCCCCTGCCGCCTATCTCCTGCTTCTGCTCTCCCTCTGCACAAACCGAGGCCCTGCCCTCAAACACACCAGGAGCATCTCTGGGGTGCCTCCACCTGTCCCTGACGAGTGACCACGGCACACTGAGATGTGGGTTGCCCTCAACCTGGTACATTTTGTCTTACGTGAGCCTTGCGGCCGCCCCTGAAAGCAAACGTCAGCACACCCGCTTCTGCAGATGCAGAAACCGAAAGTGGTGGAAAGAACACCACGTGAGCAGACACCTGTGCTGGCGTTTTACATGCCTGATCTCATAAGTTTAGAGCGGGCAGATTTTGTTGTTGTTGTTCCTATGAATGGAATACATTCAAACATTAGAAAAGCATGATATTAAAAATAAGTCTTCAGGGGCTTCCCTGGCGGCGCAGTGGTTGAGAGCCCGCCTGCCGATGCAGGGGACGCGGATTCGTGCCCCGGTCCGGGAAGATCCCACATGCCGCGGAGCGGCTGGGCCCGTGAGCCATGGCCGCTGAGCCTGCGCAGCGGAGCCTGTGCTCCACAACTGCAAAAAAAAAAAAAAAAGTATCAAAATATTTAGTGACCATTCATTGTATCTCATGAGCGGTGCAAAACAATTCCCGTGTGCTATCCTATTTAATTCTCATGACAATTCTATTTGGTAGGTACTGTTATTATTTCCATTTTACAGATGAAAGAACTGTGGCTTAGAGAGATTAAAAATCTTCTCTAAGCTGGCACATGACAGTACTCGGACCCAGCCCAGAGCTGTCTCAGACTAAAATCTGTCCTCTTAAATTTCGTAAACGTCTTGTGAGGAGGGCCCCATATTCCCATTTTCTAATAAGACTACTGAGACCCAGAGTAAAATGACTTGCCCAGGGCCACAGAATCCAATAACAGATTTGAGCTTGACTCCAGAATCTGTGCTTTTCCATGGAGGTTCCAGTGGCACCTCCTCCAGGAAGCTCTCTGGCATTACTCCAGTGTCCTTCTCATCTGACCTCCAATAGCAGCTTCCTGGGAGCCCTGGAATCTGCAGCAGGTTGCGGATTCTGCATTCACTGGCCAGAGTGAGTAGGTATGTGGGAGCGTGGGACTTCACGGGCACTGGTGTCACACAGACCTGGATCAGGATCCCCCTCTGCCCTCTACCCACTGCAAGTGAACTTGGGCAAGAGACCTCCCCTCTTGGGCCTTAGTTATTCATCATCATGATTCTTGTTTTTATTGTTGTTAATTGTACTAGTGATAAGTGCAGTTGCCAGTTACGGAGTGCCTTCCCTGTACCGTGTTTTGCAGCGGACAGTGTCTTAGTTTGGGTCCCCAGAATCAGACACTGAGACCAGGATTTGGAGCAAGTAGTTTAGGTAGGAGGCAACCCCACTAAGCTTGGTGAGGGAGTGGTCATGTGACATAGGGAAGGGAGGAAAACCATTGAGTGTGTATAATGAACAGCTTCCCGCCCTGGGCAACTGGGCTCCATCCTGCTGGGGGCCCCTGAGAAATCATGTGCCTCGCCCCCTCAACTGTCATCCTGAGGGAATCCGCCACTCCTGTCCCTCTGTGGTTGGGAGTCAGTTTATTGAGGGCAAGGCATTCCCGCAGCCTCAGGTGGATAGGAACTGTCTGCAGATGCTCAACAGCCCAGCCTCCCCACAGGAGTTTCAGGAGCTTTAGAATTAACATTTAATTACCATTGACCTTGTGTTTTCCCAGCAAGTTTTTTATCCCTTTTGTGGCGGGGGGTGGGGGGGGGTCTATGCTTTTTACCTTATCTAGGTTTCTCACATCACCATGTTAGGTGTGGAGTAAACCTCCATAAATTCAGGCTGACCAGATGGTTCTTTCAGTCATCAGCACAGATTTACTGGATACCTACGATGTGCTAGGTATGTGTTGTTCTTTTTTTTTAATTAATAAACTTTATTTCTTGAGCAGTTTTAGGTTTACAGAAAAATGAGTGGAAAATACAGACTGCTCTAAACCCTCGAACCCCATTTCTCCTATTATTAATGTCTTGCATTAGTGAGGTACACTTGTTACAATTGATGAGCCAATATTGATACGTTATTATTAACTAAAGTCAGTAGTTTATACTAGGATTCACTTTTTGTGTTGTGCATTCTCTGGGTTTGAACAAATGCCTAATGACATGTATCACATAGACTAGTTTCACTGACCTCAGAATCCCCTGTGCTCCAACTATTTCTCCCTCCCTCCACTGCCCCATCCCCTGACCCAGGTGCCATTTTTAGTGCTGGGGATACAGTTGGGACAAACTGAAATTTCTGTCTTCGTGAATCTGACGTTTTAATGGAGGAGACGGACAAGAAACCCCTAGTACCAGACTGTGACTGTATTTGGAGATAGGGTCTTTACGGAGGTAACTAGGTTAAAATGCGTTCCAATATGACCGATGGCCGTATAAAGAGAGGAAGTAAGGACAGAGACAACAGAGGGAAGCCCATTCGAAGGCACAGGGAGAAGGCGACCCTCTACAAGAAGAAACCAACCCTGCTGACACCTTGACCTTGGACTTCTAGCCTGTAGAATTGTGAGGAAATAAACTTCTATTGTTTGAGCTCCCCAGTCTGTGGTGGTTTGTGTGGCAGCCCTAGCCGCCTAAGACAGGAGGCAAGAAGCCTGTCCTTCCATTGTCCCTCCCAGCCAGTCCACTCAGAGGTGTTAGGAAGGATGGACTGTAATAGGGAAGAACAAATCTGACTCCATATTGGATCTGTTTCTTTTACTTTAACCTTTGCATTCTATTGCTTTTGCTACAAGTTAAGAATGTTGCCAATAGCCTGAAAAATACAAGGTAGCCCATTCTCAAGGCTCTGACCTTTAAAGGAACAACATTTTTGCATTCATATAGAGATAAAAAGTGGCAGAACAGAGAATAACATTTGTCTCATTGGAAGTTTATAGGAACATTGTGACCACACCTGCATGGACAGCTGTAAGAGCAAAGAATTCCAGCACCCAAAAGTTTGCAACAATCAGCCACACCCCTCCCCTTTTGGCATAAAAGAAGCCTGAATTCTAACTCAGGAAAGATGGTTCTTTGGGACACGGGTCCATCATCTTCTCTGTTTGCTGGCTTTCCAGATAAAGTCAACATTCCCTGCCCCAACACCTCGTCTCTCGATTTATTGGCCTGTCCTGAGGCAAGTAATATGAGCTTGGACTCAGTAACAGTCTGCTGCTAGACCCAAACAATTTGGGTACAAGGGTCTGCGTGTCAGTGGCCTTCCTTTCCTTCTGGGGTGGCAGAGCTGTCCCCTGTCACTGCTGGTTGTGGTGGCCACTTACCGAGGGCCCACCAGCTGTGTCCAGAACAGTGCCGTGAGTAAGAGCACAGAAATCAGGAATCTGACAGACAGACTGTGGTCAAGGCCCACTCTTCCTTCCACTTAGCAGCTGTGTGACCTTGAGTGGGTTATTTCATCTCCACAAGCTATGTGACCTTGAGTGGGTTATTTCATCTCCACAAGCTATGTGACCTTGAGTGGGTTATTTCATCTCCACAAGCCTCAGCTTCTCCATCTGTCAAATGAGAGGAAATGACTGCCTCCTGCCTCCTGTGGCTGTTGGGGACCAATGGCGAATGTTTGGGGTGCAGTCGGCACAGTGCCTGCCACTCAGATGAGTTAGCAGCTATTTTATTCTGTATAGTATTTGTCTTTACGCCTAGCCTGAGATGGAGGTATTATTTTCACTTCACGGCAAGGGAACTGACCTAAAGGACCCCTTCTGCTGACCAGTCAGTCCGCCCACAGCCTTGAACCCCGCTGCAAATCCTGCGGTGGGATCACTGGGGCACTTGAGTGAGGCACTGACGTCACCGGTGTCGAGGTTGTGGGCGTGGCTTTGTAAATAAGTTTTGAAAATCCTTATCATCTTGTCTGTCCCTCTCCAGCCCCTTGAGTCAGCAGTACTGGCCCTGGAACAGACTTTCTGTGACATTTCCAGCTTTTTGCCCCCCTACTTCCATTCTAATTTACCTCTCTGGGCCTCAGTCTCCTTATCTGGAAAATGAGGTTTAGAGGTTCAGGGATTTTTCAAGGTTCCTCGTAGCAGCAGAACCATCCTGGAACTCTGCTTTAAATGCTGCGGGGGGATTGATGACCCCATGGTGGCAGTCACACTTAATGAAAACTCTTATTGATTGTGCTTCTGTGTCCGGGGCTTTTCATATATCATCTCATTTTGGTCAAAGGCTCTGACAAAGAATCATTGAGGTAGACAGTGTTGTCCCTGTTTTTCGGATGAGAAGACAGAGGTCCAGAGATGTGCAGTGATGTGGTCGAGGACTTGGGGCCAGTGCTTGGCAGAGCTGGGAATCAAACTAAAGTCCGTCTGGGTTCAAAGCCTGTGCCTCCTTGTACCCCCTCCCCCTGCCCCCACCCTATATCTCGTGGCTTACAGGTTTAGGTTTGTTTTGTTTTGAGGCAGACATTGTTTTGTCTGAACTACAATTCAGTTCAGGTTTATGGAAAAAAAATAACATTCATAACAACACAGGTGACCTTCAAGCTTTAGCAGCAATCTCAGTGCCTGGGGAATGATTTTTACAAAGCCCGCTCTTCCTTTCCTCTTCCTTGTGAAGAGAAAAGACCTGTGCCCTGGGCATTTGCTTTAACTTTCACAAAAAGAAGCCAAAGGCAGGTGTGTCTCTCCAACTCTCCTTTGAAATGGAGGGAGTGAGGAACAGAGAAGTTATTGAGGCTTGGGGCTGAAATTTGAGGGCAAATTGAAATCTTGGAGAAGTTGCCTGTGCTGATTTCCTTTGGACATTAAGAAGTCCGGCAGAAGGCTGCTAATTGTCAGGGCTTCCCAGAGCTCAGAGGAGGTTCCCAGAATGCGCTGCAAGAGAGAAGGACAAAGACAAATGAGAGGAGCCTGCATGGCCCTGCTTCCCTTTATTCTGCACGTGGCTTCAGATCTGCGCTTGTAGGAGCCTGGCATGATGGGCACAGACACACGTGCGAACACTTTGTCTGCTGGCGAGTGCAGTGAAGAGGGGGGTGGGGAGAGGAAGAGGCAGAGGAGGAGCCTCAGAAGGCCTGGATTCGGGCTCAGCCCAACCACCAGCTAGCTACCTGTGTGACCTGGAGGAAGTTGCTTGTCTGGTGGCCCCCGCAGTCTCAGTCTCTAAGAGAAGGTTGGACATTATACTATCTCAGTGTTCCATCTGGGTCTAACAGAGATGACCTTGGCCAATACGTTGTGGAACTCTGTTTCCTAGGAACATACTCTGAACAGCAGCAATAGGAAGAAACGACAAAAGTAGCTCAGGCTTATTAAGCACTAAGTGTGGGCTACGCACTATGCAAAACATTTTGCATGGCTTATATCACTTGTGTCTCCTAATAAATGCAAGAGCTGGATACTTTTATATCCGCACACTTAAAGATGAGAAAACTGAGGCTCAGAGAGGCTGAATCGCTCGAGCTAGAAAGTGGCAGACCTAGGATTCGAACCAGGCATTCCCCCTGTAGTGCAGCTTCAAGTAGCAGCCATAGGCCTGGATGCAGGGGCGGATACTGCCAGGCCCCGTCGAATGGCCCTCACCCCAGGTTCCACAGAGCCAAAGGCTGACCTCCCCCAACTGAGTGTCCCTGCCTTAGGCAGGCATTGCTGGAGTGTAACGGGATGTGCTTAGAGAGGCCACAGCAGCCAGAAACCTGACCTGCTCCCAGACCTGTCCCTGAGAGGGGCTGGAGGACAGCTTGGGGCTTGGAGATCGGTTCACTCTAGCCCAGCTCTTCCCTAGCAGGCCAAGTGGCTTTTGGCCCTTGCTAATGGCATCAGCTCAGATCAGTGCCAGGGGAGCCGCTGGCCATGTGGGGCACTCTGGGCGGGTGGCCCTTGGTCCCTTTGGTTGACACACCACCTGCTTCGAGTTGGCAAGGCAGAAATTGCAGCTGGGAGGGCTGCCCAGGTGCAGGAGTCAGTTTCATTCCTGCATGTGCGTTACTTGCAAGCCCGAACCACAGAGCCTGCTTGCAAATTCCAGACCACACCACACTGGAAGCCGACCTGATCGAATATTCATGGACACTGTTGGGTTGTCGTCCTCATGAGTCCCATGATCTGCATTTATTGCTTTGACGCTATTTTATGATAGTGATTTTCCCTCCTTTGCTGTGTGCCGCATTTTCACCATCCTCCAAAATAATCCGCCTTAGAGCTACGTGGACAGCTGTGGCTTACCAAAATTGTGCTCAGCCATCAACCTGGGAAAGAAAATTAATTTATATATCAGGCACTGATGACAGTGATAGAAGCACTTAAATATTTGTAGAGGTGAATGGCATGGAAGGAAAAAAAAATCTTCCAGTCAGACACTGGGTTTAGTCAAGGTTTAACACAGAGTACTCATACAGCACGTCTATGAGCTAGATGATGTTATTATTACCTCCATTTTTCAGATGAGGAAACTGAGGCACAGAGAAGTTAAGTAACTTGCCCAAGGTCTCATAAATTGCAAAAGGCAATTTGCTGAGCCCAATTTGTACTTATTTGGAAAATGGGGGATGATAATTCCTAATTTATTAGGTTCTTGGGAAGATAAGATTCTGTAAGGGAGGAGCGCTGAGCACATAGAATGTTCTCCTTTATCCCTCCTTCCCTCCCACATTCTTTCTTTCTTTCCTTCCAATGTTGATCAAAGTCGCCATTATGTCAGGTCTAGTGCTAGGTCCTGGGGGGATAGCCCAAAAAGTCAAACAGCGCCCTCATCCTTCCTCTCTCCTGAGAGAATGCCATTCTACTGGGAAGGGGGCAATAGACAGTGACCCTCACATTGTCTCACGCTCCCCCGGTCCCAAGGGGTGTGTCAATATTTCCCCTCATATGGCTTCTGCCTCCCCCCTGGTTCTGGAGGAAGAGGTGATTCTTACCGGCAGACAGAGTCAGAGAATCTTTGCCATCTGTCACCCCTTCCTTAGCATTTTATGTGACCAAGACTCTGACCCAGGCAGAGGCCAGAGAAATGGAGCGTTTGTCCAAGGTCACACAGGGAGTAAGCAGCTGAGCGAGGATTTGAACAAGACGCGTCTGACCCAAGCCCTGTGATGAGGCCATGCATTCCAAACTCAGGCCACTCTGATGGGTGCAAAGTCCCTCCCTGCTTTGAGCCCAGATCCACAGCCTGCCATCTGTATCCAGCAGCTCCAACCTTGGATCCAGCCTCGCCTGCAGCATTCCCCAAATAGAAGTCACTCCATTCAACTCCTCTCTGGCAAATGTTTGGCATCGTGACTCTGTCCTCACTCGAGATCCCTGATTCCTTCGATCTTCTCCTTAGAAAGAATGTTGAGTTCCTGTCCCTTTCCTGGGACACTTCCTAGACCTACTAGCCTTCATCAAAGTCCCCTTCTAAGCAAGATGCCTGAAGTCGAATGGGCCACTGCAGAGGAGGGCTAAGGAGCGTTGTGACTGGCTTCTCACCTGCCATAGTGAGCACTTGCTCTCAGGCTTCCTGCTGGGCACACCCAGCACAGCATCATCTTTGAGTCAACTAGAACCCCTAGCTGACAGGCACACCTGCTGCCGCTACTCAGGCAAAGTGTGCAGGCACCCACGTGCCTGGAGCGCCTCCTGGATTCCAGGCCCAATTCCCGTACAGTGCTGTTCACAAACTTCACCCCATCTCTCCAGCGCAGGTCTTATCAGCTCCATTTGCAGATGAGACAGCTGAGGCTCAGAGAGGGGCTGTACTAAGAAGCACAGGATTAAGTGAAAACCCCCAGTTTGGTATCCCTGTGGTCAAGTTTTGAGTCGCAACGGGCAGGACCTGTAACTACCCTGTGACCATCATGTGATTGGATTCAGTCTCTCATACATGCCATTCACAACATTTTAGGGTTCCGAGTATCTCAGGACCCTAGGTTGGGCTGTGACCCCTAACTTTGTAACTTCCGGAATTTAATCAGCATGACATTCATCAATGTCATGAATAGGACACTGCTGAGTTCAGAGTCCTGACGTTTCTGCTAGAGACCTGCCCCTCTCCGGCCTCTACCAACTCACTGACTTTTGAATCTTGACCCAAGGAATCCAGCAAACATACTCTCATCCCCGCAAACTTCTCCAGCTTGTCCAAATGAACATTGCTTGAGACCACTGTGGTGGACCTGGGTAGTTTTGAATCTGCCTCTGTTCCTCTTTTGGTATTAACATTTTTATTTTCCTTTGGGGAAGATGGTAGATTAAAATATTGCTTCTAGTTCTTCATTCCATAGAACAGGATTATACATCGTACCCTTCACCTCCTGGGTTTTCAGTGCTCCTCGGTCAGGTAGCTTTATCTCCCCATGGCAACACTGTTGGGCTTGGTCAAGAGACTTGCGCTGACCTATGGGATGTGGGTGGACACGAGGTGAGCAGAGTGTCTCGGTGTGCTTGTGAGGTCTGCCTGTCATCTGAGATGAGCAAATCATGTCTCCTGGTCCACATGGGATAAGGAGCAAGTGGCGCAGACCCAACTCACCCTGGAGCCTGGAGCCCAGCCCAGGCGACCCCAGCAGGGGCATAGTTTGTCCTCAGATGCGTGAGCAAGAAAAAAATGCTTGTTAGTGTAAGCCACTGAGTTTGGTGGTGGTTCACCAGGATTAGTGCAGTAATCGCCAGTTTCTGCAATGAAGCATCCCCCTTCCATCCTCAGCTGCTTGGATGGGGCTCGGCATCACCCGGGGGGGGAGAGCATGCTCCAGGTGCGGTTAGCAGGCGTCCCTGTGCTGGTGGCTCTCCATTTGCCACCCCCCTCCCATCCACTCTCTGCCCAGCTGCAAGCCCAGGGTCCCTTTCTCCCCTGCAGTGTCCCCACTGGGCTGGTAACACTGTTTTCTTTCCTTACCCCTCAGGCCAACAGAAGGTATGAGATTCTGTCCGTGATCTTCCCAGCTGCCTCAGCATCTCTGTCGGCTCCCTATCTCTCTCTCTCTCTTTTTTCCTTTTTTCTTTTGTCCTACCCAGTCACATGGAGGTTTTCTTGCCCTTTTGGAACTCTGAGGTCTTCTGCCAGCGTTTAGTAGATGTTCTGTGCGAATCATTCCACTTGTAGATGTTTTTTGTTTGTTTGTTTGTTTGTTTTGCGGTACGCGGGCCTCTCACTGCTGTGGCCTCTCCCGTTGCGGAGCACAGGCTCCGGACGCGCAGGCTCCGCGGCCATGGCTCGCGGGCCCAGCCGCTCCGCGGCACGTGGGATCCTCCCAGACCGGGGCACGAACCCATGTCCCCTGCATCGGCAGGCGGACTCTCAACCACTGCGCCACCAGGGAAGCCCTGTAGATGTATTTTTTGATGTATTCATGGGAGGGGGTGAGCTCCACGTACTACTCCTCCACCATCTTGATTCCTCCCCCGTCGGCTTCCTAATTCACCCCATGTCTCCGTAAACAGACCAAGCAGTACTTCCATACAGAATCCCCCCACCCACTAGCGGACCCTCTGCTGGGATTCGGTCTGGTCCAGTATCACAGTCCTGACTGCAAATCCCAGATGCCCGTGGGCAAGTTACTTAACTTCATTTTTTCCCCAGTTGACAAAATGAGGATTACACTGTTGCCGTTTTGAGGTTGTCGTGAGAAAGAAATCAGATGACGGATGGGCAGTGCCCAGCCTTGTGCTTAACTCCTGGGGGCTGCAAGACAGGTCATCTCTCCCAGCCCATCTTGCTCTGGCCGGCATCAAATGCGGTGCCAGGCACTCACTAAAGCATTAATAAATATTTGTAGTTTGAAAAGCTCTATGGTAGATTTTCTTCCTTTGACCTTTTGATTATTTTCCCTCTTGAAATAGCACAATAAGGCCCCTAGTGCCATGGTGACGGTCTCTATAGAAATCCATAGCTTGTTCTCAGCACACCCACGGATGCCAGTGGGAGGCTGGCATAGATTTGGACCAATGGAGAGAAGGCATGTTTAGCCTTGTCCTGGTTACAAAGAACATGTTTTTTTTTTTCTTCTTTCAAATGGACCTTCCTGTCCCCAATTCAGCATCACCTAGGTCTCTCCTAATGTGGGTTAATTTTCCAACAGCTCCTAGAAAGAGTATATTTCCAGCCTCTCCTGGGATAGACAGAGGAGTTTCGAACAGGGTAAAGCAAGTTTCGATGGAGACTATTTGGATCCTGCCAAGGAGTCAGGTGGCTCTGATCTCATTCCTGCCCTGGAGTGGGAGTGTGTTTGCTTAGAACAGGTAATCCTTTTGAATGCTGTAATCTGAGGTTAGAAATAGACTTGTGTTGCTACCAGAAATCCCTGATGTTTTGGCCTTTTCTTTGTCAGGCTTGCCCTGGTCAAGGTTGGGCATGTATTTGCTTAGGAATGGAGGTCCTTTATGAAACCAAGGAGGGCCTCGGTCCCTTTAAGAGGGTCCTTGAGGAGAGACAGTCAGAGAATCACAGAGATGAGGGCCAGATGGCCAGTAAACAGGATGACAGTGAGTTAGGGAGAGGACCAGCTGGGCCGTCTGCTTTAATCACCTTGCAGCGGAGAAGCCTTCAGTCGGTGGCTGCAGTTGGAAGATTTGGGTGAGGGCTGGGCAGCCTGATCCAGGGACCTCAGAAAGGTCTGACTGACCCCACCTTCTGCCTGAACTCAGAGTTCTAGACCTGGGAGACAGTCGGAAAGCAACAGAAAAAGTATGGGCTGTGGGGTCAGACAGCTCCAGGTTCAAATCCTAGCTGTGTTCCTTGGATGGTGATATAATCTGTCTGAGCCTCCAATTCCTCATCTGTGAAATGGGATGATAATCCCATCTCACAAATACACTGTGAGGTAAGTACAAATAATGGGTAGACTACCCTGCATGGGGTAAAGCTCAGGAAATTTTAGTCCCCCTCTCCTCTGGAGAGCATACTAATAACTTTTTAACCAAGAGGGGCATAAAGGAAAATCTTTCTCTGAGCGTCTGGAATCTTGGCAATTTAAAAATGAAATCCCCAAATCCTGCTTAAATACCTTACTTAGAATGCAAGTATATCACTTAGGACTGACTGGTTTTTCAGCTCCCTGTAACAGAAAACCTAGATAATAGTGGCTTAAACAAGATAAAGATTTATTTTTCACTCATAGGAAACTGCAAACAGTTGAGGACTGGAATGGTGGCCCCCCAGCAGTTCCCTCCAAGGAGCCAAGGCTCCTTCCATCTTTTAGTTCCACTATACTTACAGTGTGGCTTCCACTGTGAAGGTCATTGCATGGTCATAAGTGCTGCCAGAGCACCAGCCATCATGCCACCATTCCAGGCACCAGCAAGGAGAAAGAGAAGTATAAGAGTGTGCACCTCTCAGATGAGTCAGCATTTAAAAATTTTAAACACAAACAAACAAACAAAAACCTACCAGAAACTCCATCCAATGATTTCTGCTTATAGCTTATTGGCTCCCCCTACAGCCAGGGAGGCTGGGAAATGGACTGGGTGAGTGGACCCCCCAATAATATAGGGGTTCTATTAATAAGGAGAAATGGGAGAATGTTGTCCCTTCCATAGCCGATTCAAAGCTTCTTCAATTTCACTGGAAAGGGCTGCCTAGGTCAACGCTGGGAATATTTCCCCAGGAACCAAAAGCATCTTGAGAACCTGGTCCTCCATAGGTTGTCAGCAAAGGTGAGTTCCTGTCTCCCTTCCAACCTCCTGTTGCCCCCTACCGCTTCCATGTTAGAAAATCTAGCATTAGCTTACATCCAACTTCAAATGCTACCTAGATTTAATGAATCAGAAAGGTTCAGAGTCAGAAGCTTAGGTGAATTACACACAAGTTCCATGCGGAGAATTTACTAAAAACCCTAAGACTGACCACTGAAATCGAAAATAGTTTGCATTATCTCCCACCTACCTACCTTATCAGCTGCATTAGTTCTCTATCACTGTGTAACAAATGACCCCCAAACTTAGTGACTCAGAAAACAACACGGGTTTATTATGTCACAGTTCCTGTGGGTCAGGAATGTGGGTGTCCTCTGTGAGAAGCTGGGGTCCTCTGGCTCAGGGCTTCTCACAAGGCTGCAACCAAGTTATCCGATGAGGCTGCAGTCATTTCAAGGCTCAACTCAGGGTCGATCTGCTTCCAAGCTCACTCATGCGGTTGTTGGCAGGATTTAGCTCCTTGCTGGCTGTTGGCCGGAAGCTTCCTCAGTTTCTTGCCACGAGGGCTTCTCCGTAGGGCAGCTTACAATATGGCAGCTTGCTTCATCGGAACAAGCAAGTGAGAAAACCAGAGACAGAGTGGGAGCAAGAGGTCTTTTATAACCTAATCTTGGAGGTGGCATCCCATTGCTATCTCATTCTATTTGTTATAAACAAGTCACTAGGTCCAGCCCAACTAAAGGGGAGGGAGGGGGGAACATTTTAGAAGCACCAATCAGTGTCCTGCTTCATCACTCACCTTCTCTCTCTGGGTTCCTGACATAGGAGTCTATTTCCTTCCATGAACAAGCCCAGCTCCTTTCTACCACAGGGCCTTTGCACGTACAGTTCTGTCTGCTTGGTAGCTCTTCCCTTCCTCACTGCCTAATTTCAGATTTCTTCTCCAGCCTCATTTTTGCAGAGAAGCCTCTCCTGACCACCCTTCTCCTGAGGCACGGGAAGGAGGGGTGCCTTCACTCAGCCCTGGGTAGCCCAGGAGGTTACCTTCAAGCAGAAGCCTGGACCCTGACCATTCAATTCTCTCTCTTATGAGGTTGGCTGCATTGGGACCCTTTAGCTGTAGCTGTAATCATCAAGCAGACGGACTTTGGATCTAGCTCACAGATTATTTTTTTTTTTAACATTTATTTATTTTGGCATGCAGGACCTTCACTGCAGCATGCTGAGTTGCGGCATGCGAACTCTTAGTCGCAGCATGCATGTGGGATCTAGTTCCCCCGACCAGGGATTGAACCCCGGCCCCCCGCATCGGAAGCGTGGAGTTCCACCCACTGGACCACCAGGGAAGTCCCTAGCTCACAGATTCTTTTTTTTTTCTTTTTTTTTTTTTTTGCAGTATACGGGCCTCTCACTGTTGTGGCCTCTCCCGTTGCGGAGCACAGGCTCCGGATGCGCAGGCTCAGCGGCCATGGCTCACGGGCCCAGCCGCTCCGCGGCATGTGGGATCTTCCCGGACCGGGGCACGAACCTGTGTCCCCTGCATCGGCAGGCGGACTCTCAACCACTGCGCCACCAGGGAAGCCCAACTCACAGATTCTTGACATCTCATACTGGGCTGCCCCAGAAGTCCAAATAGGGGAAAGAGACGGACCCCTATTTCAGGTCAGGACCCAGCTCTGAATACATGTGTTTTTCTGGCGAAGCTTCTTTTATCAACTGTATTCATTCCTTCATTCACTTGTAATGGGTATGATTTTCAGTCTACAAACTCAGGTGTGGGATAAATAGAAAATAGGTATTTCTTTATTATACCGAACTAAGTTCAGTTTCTATTTTGAGCCTCCATTTTGCCGGGTTGGATCACAACTGGGTCACAGTCAATCCATCCCCTCCATTCCCCGGCAATCACATCTATGCTTGGTGTGCAAAGGTGATGGGAGGGAGGCCACCGGTCATCGATGTCAGTTTCAGTGGCATTTATCTTTCAGCCATTGGTCAATGCAGGTCACCATGTTTGTGCCCTGTCTCAGATCAGGTGACCCTGTTACCTCCGTGACATTATGGGGCTCACAGGAGTCATTGTATTACTTCTTATGCCTCACAGGATTGTGGGAAACTCTGAGATGTCTAAGTTCCCAATCGCCTACATGCCATGTGGACACTTCTGCCCTTTTGGGCTTTCCTTCCTCCCTGGGGATCCTCCTTCCCTTCTGCTCGGAGATCCCACAGGTTGTCCCTCTGGGAAATTTGTCTTTGTCCCCACACCTGGCCCTGGGAGCAGAGCATGCAGCCCTTTTTAGCCGGGACAGCAACTTTCTCATTCCTCCCCTTCCTAGTCCTTTTCTGTACAGCCCCGGGGGACATTTTTCTGGCCAACAGGGGAGTGGGGAGCACCTTGCTCTGCTCATCTCTTCCTCCAAATGTTTTTAACTAAACCATGAGATCTTTCCAATCTCCTGAGAATCTCGTCTTAAAAACCCTAAAGCCAAGAAAGCCTCCTGACACCAGGTGATAAGTGACGCCAGAGGGTATAGAGGACCAGAGGAGGCGCCCCATCTGGGCTGACCAGATGGGAGGGGGTGGGCCTGGGAGGCCAGAGCTGGGCTGAAGAATGAGAGAGATAATCAAGGAAGGGGCCGTTCAGTCAAGGGAAGAGCCTGGTTAAAGGTGGGGAGGAATGGAGACGGCCTCTGGGTGGCTGCCGCCTGTTTGAACAGAATGCAGGTTGTGCCTTGGGGAGCAGCTGTAGATAAGGTTGGAGGAGTGAGCAGGGATCTGGTAACAAAAGGTCTTAGATGTCAGGTCTAGACATTTGGATTTTATCTTCAGGAAATGTAGATCCATGAGAGGAGTTTTAAGCATGCGGTGAGGCGGCCAGCTTTGTGCTTTAGAATGTTCTCTCTGAGCTGGGGTGGAGGATGGGCTAGAGTCAGGGTACCAGCCACCTGGACAAGGAAAGACAGGGCTGCAGTGGGTAGACAGGCAAGGCGAGCAGGGGACCAATTCCCTGGAGACTAGAGGGCAGGGCCACCCGGACTTGGTAACTGAGGGGATGTGGGGACATGGAGAGCCAAGAGTTCAGGACGACTCCACAACCTCTGACGGTGCCGTTTACCAAGCTGGCAAGACGGCAACCCCAAGGTTGGTGAAGAGGCGGAATTCGTTTAGTCTGAAGTCCAGTTTGGAGTTAGGACCCTGTGGATAAGGAAGCTTCTCGGCAGAAAGCTCTAGAGCAGAAAAACTCATGTCGGAAGTATGTCAGAGAGGCAGCCTCAGAACTCCAGTACTTTAATTAATTAATTTATTTTTGGCTGCGTTGGGTCTTCGTTGGGACACGTGGGCTTTCTCTAGATGAGGTGAGCGGGGGCTACTCTTCATTGCGGTGCGCGGGCTTCTCAATGCGGTGGCTTCTCTCGTTGCGGAGCACGGGCTCTAGGCACGCGGGTTTCAGTAGTTGTGGCTCACGGGCTCTAGAGCGCAGGCTCAGTAGCTGTGGCGCACAGCTGTGGGCTTAGCTGCTCCGCGGCATGTGGGATCTTCCCAGACCAGGGATCGAACATGTGTCCCCTGCATTGGCAGGCGGATCCTTATCCGCTGCGCCACCAGGGAAGGCCTCCAATACTTTCTAATAGTTGCTATGGACCATGGTCAACTAGGATGTTTCAACAGCAGATAACCATAACATGCACTCGTGGCCCAAATAAATACAGATGTTAGGATTCACTGAAGAAGGGAGTTCCAGGGCTGCTTTCAGGGGCTCAGCCATGCCAGCAGGGACCCAGGTGCTTGCTTGCTTTCTGCTCCACCATCCTCTGGACTTCTGGTCTTTCTAACGTTCCCTCCTGCTAGCAGATGCGTGCTGTGTCCTCAACTTCAATGTTTCGGTGAAATAGACCAGTTTTCCAGGAAACATTACATTTTCCTTGTTCCACCAGTGTATCAGCATTGGCACTTGAGACGTCATTTATCTCTCATCCCAAGGTGGACAAAGTGCAGTGTGTCTAGCAGCATTTTAGTAAGACTATAAAACATTCGGGAGGTGATGGGGGTACAAGGGGAGAGTGTAGCCTTTGGAGACAAACAAACCTGCATCCTGGTCTTTCTGCAAGTGCTGAGTAGGTCACTTCCCCTCTTTGAATGTCCCTTTCAGCGTCTCTAAAACGGAGACAGTCGGGTACTGTGAGTGTTTGAGGAGATGACTTTTGTAAAGTGCCTGGCACTGTTCCCAGCCCACAGTGGCTCTCTCCTTTGCTGTGTTCGCATCCCTTCCTTCCCACCCATCTGCTCTATACAAGCAGAAGCTGCTGTTTTAACGAATAACCGCTCCCCTTACCGAGGACCAAGTTCAATCCCATGAAATGAACTGATCATGGTAGAATTTCATTCGGATGCTGAGGGAGAAAGGGGGAGAGGGATTTGAGGTGGCAAGGGTAGGGAAAACATAGGCTGCTTGGCTAATCTATATACTATATATATTTTAAAAATATATTCTGTTCACAAGCGCTATCCCAATGAATAGAACCAAAACTGGGAAGCAAGAGAGTGACTTAAAAGAAAAGTCTTAAAACCCACCTGTGTACCCTTCCCCCTCCCCTTGTCCTCAAGTCCATTCTCTATGTCTGCGTCTTTATTCCTGTCCTGCCCCTAGGTTCAGAAGCTAACACACCATTGTAAAGCAATTATACTCCAACAAAGACGTTAAAAAAAAAAAAAACCCCACCTGCATCATGTTAGGGTTCAAGCTATCAGAAATAGAACCTCCCTCGCCCTCAGATGGCTCTGTTCTGATCGTATGCCTGGCAAAGCTGTGAGTAAGCATGGAGCCTGCTTGCAGGGGAAGAGTGTCTGCCTGGCGCAGCCGATGAGTCACTGCTGCCTGCCCTGGCCCCCTGCCTGCGAGGTGGCCACTATCTTTGGACGTTTTAATTTTCCCTTGTGGGGAGGGGTAATTATGGCCTCCGTGCCCTGTGGCTGTTTCCATTTTGCACAGTGCCTGGACAGAGGCAGAGATCCTTCAAGAAATCCTCCTCTTTTTTTTTTTTTTTTTCAGGGAAATTGGTGGGGGCTGGTGGTGGGGATTTGAGCCTGTCTGAGGTGTGCAGAAGCAAGGCTGATGCAAGTGTAGCAACCTTTCAGGATCTGCAAGGTCCTTAACTATGCGCCATCAATTACTGCCAGATGTGGTTGTTATGCAAAGTAGCTTAATTGGCCTACTGGTTGGTTGAGTTTTAAACCCACGGATTGTACCAATGCAAGAGAGAGGAAAACAGATTTGACAGATGCAGGATGGGGCTGTGTGGTTTATATGGACACGGAAGCAAAACATCTGGGGACAGAATGGGCCTTAAATGGAAAATGGTCAGGTGATAGATGACAGATTGAGAGATAGATAGATCAATGGATGGATGGATGGATGGATGGATGGCTGTCAGCTGAGAGGGACCGAGGAGAAATGCAGACATCGGGAGTCTGGGGGTGTGATGCTTTTATAACGCAACCATGACCATATGGAAGATGCGCCAGACAGATGCTGGATACTGAGAAGTCAACCCGGGATTGAAGGTAATGATTCACTTAAAGAGTTACTCCACATTGTAACCGAAGCGGAGTTGGCTGTAGACATCATCAGTTGAGTTGTGTCACCAGGGGAAAATGTTTATTCATGGAGACTAGAGTTAGGTTTTGAGTGTGTGTTCAACAGATTCCTGAGTTTGAACTGCCACCCCCAGGAAGCCCGGTAACCTTGGGTGAATTATTTAACTTCTTTGGATCTCAGTTTCCTCATCTACGAATGAATGCCTGTTTCGAGGAGAGTGTGGAATGCGGTAAAGGGCATGTCTGGCATATAGTTAGAACTTGGTCCATGGTTGCGATTATACTTTCGTGTATTGCTTTTCTCAACACACGTTAACTGTAATTGAGCACATACTTTGTGCCCAGCCCTCCCTAGGAACTAAGGATACAGACTTGTTTGATTCATTTCACAAATATTTGCTGAGTACCTACGATGCGCTTGGCAGACACTGCTAAGCCCTGGAAACTGACTTGGGTAGAAATGGTAAAGACCCCTGCCCACAAGGTGCCTCCAGACTGGGGACGAGACAGATATTCAAATAAGGAAAATACTTGGCACAGACAAGTCCCTGCTGAACGCCAGAACTTCAAAGGGCTCCAGTGCAACGGGCTCAGCACAGGGACTACCAGCCCTTTCTGCAGATGAGAAAACTGAAGCTCAGAAAGGTGAAGAGACCTTCCCAGGTTCCCACACCTACTGACTGGCAGAACCTCAGCTGGAACAGACCAGCCTGACTCCAAAGTCCGCAATCTTTCTCAACAGCACACAGCCGCCAGGGTGTGTTTCAAGTT